CAGTATGCTCATACCATATACGCATTCACCCGCGTGCACTAGGTTTATGTGCACGCTGCTAATGTCATGCATGATTTTATGGACGTACACATGATAACATAATCGAGCATGCTTCGAGCATGCTTCTTCCGTATTGGTTGTTCTTCCCTTTGTCCCATTGACATGCATGTCATGGACAAATAGCACACTCTGGTACATGGAACACTATTATAGAGTTACCCCAACAGTCCTCGAGCATTGCGCCATAAGATCTATGCTCTAAAGCCCGATTTATACTCGGCGCCGCATGTCAGGCAAGGGAAACACTTCCCAGTTGCGCAATGGGCGATAAGTTGAACCCAAGTCAACTGTTTCACCGCAACTGGCATTGAAACGTGTGTCCTGTACATGAGATGAAGTATAAATCAGCCCTTACACGGACACAGGGTGAAACAAGCAATCCCTTACCAGCAAAACTGGACGGCAGTGATGCCCTGCGCTCCACATCGCCACGCGGTGAAGTACCGACTGCAGCAGCCACGGCGCCCACATCACCAGCACCACTACCAGAGCCAGGCGAGTCGGCGACCTCCATTACGGGCGTGCTGTGTAGCTCGCGTATGACAGTGTTGTCGGCGCTGATGTGCCGCGACTTGTGCCGCTTAGCCGACTCGCTTTTCGATCGCCTGATCACGGCGGGGCCATCATCTACACAGACACATAGATGAACACATACAGTGGGTGAGAGTGAGAAGACATCGGACTACTGGATGCATGGAGTTACCATATTTTCCGGAGTATAAGCCGCACCCCCCCCCCCCCCCATTTTTTGCCGCGAAATACAGATCTCTATCCTATTTATCACCGTTAATTTGATCATCGGAGCATAAGCAGCACCCCCTTATTTGGGGGTGAATTTTGAGCGTTCAAAGTGCGGCTTATACCCACGGAAAATACAGTACTTCAAGTAGTTCAATGGAACCATAGTACACAGGTACATGTACATTACGGACAGACAAAACAAGGATAAGCCTGTGTGTTGTGTCTCCGAGCGGGTGCAAACTACTTTCCGGCTGCTGTCAGAAGCCAACCTACTTTCAGCACACGTATGGTGTGCTATATGCACTGCTCTTTCCGTTATTTTCTTTCTATGCAAGTCGCAACTTCTGTTTTGAGTTGTTTTTCTTCTCTCTTTTTCTTTCCCTAAAATAGTTGCTGTTACACTCACTGATCCTTATGCACAGATAGACAGCATTCCCTCACTAGTGGGACCATTGTTATTAGGCTAGGACCTGTTTTGGACTTCCCACTCGAAATAAAGAATACAAACAACAAACAAAACCAATGTCACAATCGATCGAAATTGAGCACTTTCATTTCCCCACCTCTCTCAGGGAAGGTTCCGCAACATATACAGCACCATCAACTTCTCCACACCCAACCTTTATCTGGACTCTTTGCCGGCTGCTAACCGCAAACTCAGATGATACACGCCTAGGGACAGTAGGGTGTTCTGCAGAAATCCAGACAGTAGCATCCTGGACTGATTTCAACTAAGCCATTTCAGCTTTCAGCACCATGCCTCTCCCTCACAATACCCATGTCTCCTTCTCACCGTACCTCCCCCCCCCCCCCCCCCCTTCCCCACTCCCTGCCTCCATCTCAGAAGACATTCAGCGCAGAACATCTCGCCAGAGATACAAACACACCCGCACCTGTGCCCCTCTCACCGTTGCCTGTTTCTGTCATTGCCGACGCCGCACCGCTTGAACTGGTTGCACTGCCACCGGAGTAGGACTGGTAGATGCCGACCATCTGCAGCACTTGTCGCGTCCACGTGTTCAGCGTCGAGCAATCGTACATCAGCTTGAAATCACAGATACTTAGGCCTGAAAGTAGCAGCAGCAGCAAGAGCAACAGCAGCAACACCAGCAGTAGCATCAACAGTAGCATCAATAGCCGCATCAACAAGAGCATCAGGATCAACAGCAGTAGCAGCACCACCACCACCCACCGCCAACAACAACAACAGCAGCAGTAGCAGCAGCAGCACCACCCACCACCACCAACAACAACAACAACAGCAGTAGCAGCAGCAGCACCACCCACCACCAACAACAACAATAACAGCAGTAGCAGCAGCAGCAGCAGCAACATAACGACATGAAACCGGAACTTATGAATGGCCGGAACTTGGAAGACATTCAGACTACACGCAGTGTTCAATGGGCGTACCACCAAGGCCACTGGTCAACCATAAGTAGTAGTCCTCTCCTGTGTGAGGCTATGGTTGGACCTACCAGCTTTTCACATAACAGCTCCATTTGCGTATGGCATAGAATATCAACAGTATAAAAACATTTCACTACAGCCAGATAGCATGGATCAGTAGCATACATGCGTTGATGTGTACACTACGGTACTCACCTCTCACAAGAGAACACAGCAAAGTAGCACATGACTCGTCCAGCAAGAATGCACCTTCAGAATACCAAGACCTTTGTAACAGAAAGAGAAAGAGCAAGAGAGCAGGAGAGAGAGAGAGAGAGAGAGAGAGAGAGAGAGAGAGAGAGAGAGAGAGAGAGAGAGAGAGAGAGAGAGAGAGAGAGAGAGAGAGAGAGAGAGAGAGAGAGAGAGAGAGAGAGAGAGAGAGAGAGAGAGAAAAAGGCCATTACAGTTTAATAGGTGTGAAATTCGCGAGGCAGAACTTGTTCTCATACCTGCATTTCGAGATCATCCCAGATCGCTTGTTAAGCACGAGCTTCTCCGGTGCCATCAGGATGTAGAATTTGCTTGGCACTCTCCTCGTAGTGGACAGGACTCCTTGAGTCTGCAGTTGCATGCTTTAGTTTCTTCGGGTTCTCGCAGAAGCTGCGATGAACTCGGCCATTTGAAAATTTTGAAACACTCCACCACTCAACAATGCGCTTTTGGCCCACATTCACAACACCATATTTCGTAGCGAGGGAATTCGTTCTTGGGTAGATGTTGCTATTGTTCGTCTAGTCATCACACCAACACGCAGTCAACACCACACACAGACACAGGTTATACTGCTCACATACTTACGTTAGTACAGTTTTGTCGGCCAGCATCGCTTCAACGTAGCTCAGAATGAGGCTGTGATTGAGAGCTAAGCGAATCCAGGCCTAGAGGGGCAACATGCACAGACAACAACAAGGCTTGCTGGCATCTCAGCGCAGCAGGAAAACAAAGTACATGTACGGTGAAATTTCAGTATAACATACATACACCTCCAAGGGACATACGAATCTGTACTTCACACGCAGGATTACTGTAAAAGCAGAAATTTTCGGTGGTGTAATATTTTCGGTATTCTCCAAAACCGGCGGTTCGGTGGAGGGAAATTTTCGGTAAACCCGTTTTCCAGGCAAGTGTGCTAGCACTGTACCGAAATTTTCGGTGCATTTTATTTTCGGTAAAAATGCCGGCACCGACTTCGGACTTTCTATACAGGGAGTGATGTCGATCTAAACTTTGAATTTGAAGTCTTTACAGTTGATTCCAAGTTTGAACTGCGAATAGGGGATTTTTTGGACCAATGAACTCTATATAGGGGGTGAACATCATACAGGGGCTGAACTGCCTACTGAGTCCAACATATCCAATCTCAAATGATTGGAGTATTATAATGCAGGGTCCACACACAAGGCCCAGTGGAAGAAAATCAGTATGCCTCTACTCCGAGTTTCAGCTGCTATGCAGCCGGGCACTTTTTACTGAAGTTTCACAGGTCGAGTAAAAAGCAGTGCGAAAATGAGTAGTGGCTGTTTCCCCAAAACAATTTGGGTTTCTCACAGGTCACTGCTGTAAAGTGTAAATTTAACTTGTGTGTGTGTGTGTGGTACATGGTGTGTGTGTGTGTGTGTGTGTGTGTGTGTGTGTGTGTGTGTGTGTGTGTGTGTGTGCATGTGTGTGTGTGTGCACGCGTGTGTGTGGTGTGTGTGCTGTAATTTGCCATGACAAAGGCCACAATGGAGTTCCTATGCTACAGTATCCGTGCACATGTCCACTATAACGCCTGTAAAATTGACATCATACTGTAATTGACATTATACTATGAGTTTGTGAGTGTATGATCCACAGAGGGTGGTGGTGTTCCTACGGATGCAGAAAACTGGGCCTCCAGCCGAGTCTCACGCGAACCGTGAATTCATTTCTAGTGCTTGTCATGTATTCTGTTTCTCCCCGGTGTGTTTTATCTGTAGTTTTCCTTGAGCAGTGTTTCTGCTAAGTATTTCCCTAGCCCCTTTTCACTTCTCTTTCGTCTCATCCACCCTTCCAGGAAACTCCCCCGATAAGTACCGGGTATCCATTTACTTTTGGAGAATCCTTCAACTAAAGTCTAAATGAATGAATGAATTTTATTTTATGAGTACAATAGCTTTGCTTACCCGACATTGGCCAACCTCAGTGCTAATCTGCTGTAGGCAGAAGATCTGCTCAACGAAATCGCGCGGCGTGTACAGTGCCACGAACGGCCAGAAGGACTGCACAGTCAGCATATCACACATATGTACAGGTGCGCACGGACATGCACCAAAATACACACAGGCACAGACACACACAAGTACACACACACACATACACACACACACACACACACACACACACACACACACACACACACACATGCACACACACTCGCGGGCACCCACGCGCGCACACACGCACACCCACACACACACACGCATGACATCACATTACATCATATTGATGTCAGTCATACAGGAAATTTTCATTTCCAGAACACAATTACTATTATTTGGACTCTGCACGTGGCCCTGAACAGGGACCTCGATAAGACGGTGCAGTGGATATTGGGGAACTCTGGGACCTGGAGAGGCTAAGGAGGCTTAGCAATCGGAAGGAGTAGGCGCAACCTACCAAATGTATCCTCAGACACATTCCCAATCACTGATATTTTATTTTGCTTGCACACCGGATATAATGCCGGAAGTGTATACTTCCATAGCGTAATTCTCCTCACCTTGAGGTTTATCCTTACACCCAACTCTATTGTACATAAGCGATTCACCGCGAACATGTCGATAATAATACACAGCTGCAAGTTCAAGCAATCAAGCCACCGCGCTGTAGAGGTGCGAGGCCAGTTTCTGGAAACGAAACAAAGGTGCCGAAATACACGTACAGCACTTACAATTTCCGGCAAGTGATCTTGACTCTGCCGCCGACCAAGTCTTGCGAGAGACGACGACATCTGTGAACAAAAAACAAACATCCCGTGCAGTCACAAGCTAGTCCAGTAAGCAGTAGGAGTCACTAGTTGCAGTACAACCATCACAACCCTCCTCCTGTATACTGACAAAATGCACTAGGGAAATGCACCAGGGAAATGCACTAGGGCACAGAAGATAATTAGTACATGACATGCACTGTAAAGCAGAAATTTTCTGTGGTGTAATATTTTCTGTATTCTCCAAAATGGGCAGTCCGGTGGAGGGAAATTATCAGTAAACCGTTTTCCACGTAAGTGTACCAGTACCGAAATTTTGGGTACGTTTTATTTTCGGTAAAAATTTCTGCACCAAAGTTACCGAAAATATAATACCACTAAAAATTTCTGCTTTTTACAGTACATTCAAACACATTAGACACCCTTAGCAAAAAACGTTATGTTGTAACGGTATTATCGTATGGGGGAAAATACCGTGATTTGGGTTCGACCTTTAGCAAGATGCACGCTATTTTTAGTACGCTGTTGCCACGAGAGTAGCTTTGATTTCGCGCGGTACAACCATTTTTGTCACCATATACGCGATACAAGGTGAAATGCGTACGGACTATGCAATATTTGGCCAAAAAACGTACCGTTGGTCACAACGATAAATCAGCCCCCATAACGTTTATACGCTGCAGCTTCAACGCTATATGGGTGATCAAGGTACGAGTACCGTAAAAAATAGCGTTATCGTTGTTTGCTAAGGGTGTCTAATGACACACAATAACGACTCGATGCCCATTTAATACATGTATGAGCGGAAGCAAGCATATTGTACGAGATCTCTCCCCACCCAAACCCAGGCACGCAATTGTGCGAGTATACATATACGTCGCATAGGTACTGATATGCATGTCTGTGTGTGTGCGTGTGAACTCACCTTGGCCGTGAACGGCGCGCGGAAGTTGTGCAGGAAAACGCCCTCCAGCGCGACGCACACATCACTTGCATGCGAAAGAGAGCTGTTCACAATGGACCAGAAACTAACAAAAGTCACCACTGGTTGCACACTAGTATGTCTCCACAGGGGCTGGGGTAGCTGCAACTTTTCGTACAAGACTATGTTCATACTTGTATAATACATGTAATAGCATTGTCGTCACACGGTACAAATACTACTTCAAAGTAGTACCTGAACTCAACCTGGACTACTATTAGCCCTAACAGGAACGTAAACACACACGTACACACGTGCACAAACACACGTACGCACACACACGTACGCACATGTACACACACACGCACGCACACACGGTCTCTTGACACCCGTCAGCAACAGCTAGCCTACAGCAAGCCTGGGTGCAGAAGTGATGCTATAGCGTACAACAGACGTGCCTAACCTGCTGATCTCGGGGAAGTCATGACTGGCTTGGTACTGCTGGAGCTGTTGGCAAAAAAACACGCACACACATGCACACACACACGCACACAAACACACACATACACACACACACACACACACACACACACACACACACACAACACGCAAAGTAACAATAAAAAAATTAGATAACACACCGAATAGTGTACCATGAACTACATGCACACATACTTCTTGCCAATGTCTGATAGTGAACCGATACAACTTGCACCTCGGCGAGAGCAACTCAACCTGGCCATCAGGCAAACTCACTCGAGCTATGTGCACACAAACACGCCAGCCTATAAACATACAACTCCTTGCAGATAGGGGCGCTTCCAAGCATAATCTACTAGTATACGAAAACTACCAGCCAAGCTCTAAACACAACGCCCAGCCAGAACCTTCTGTGAGCACTCCAAGGTGCGAACGCTACAACATGTCTACACAAATTGTGCACGGACAGTGCTGCTCAATGAAATCCGCTCGAGTCACTCAAGTCTGCGCCCTGCACCAGTCCACATCCCAGTGGCCACAGGGCAAGTGCTGCACGGCGCCCGGCTTGGTATTGAGACTATTGACTCGCTCGATTGGATTTCATTGCGCAGCACTGTACAGTTGCCGCCACTATGATTGTAGTACGGTTGAGGATAGCTGGCGCAAGTCACGGAGCAGCAAAAATGGATGTGCTGTCCGGATAGACACTGCACTCGACAGCAGAGCTGGTGTAGCCTAGGTACACTGACAGGCTTCGTGCACGTAGCTTCAGACTCGACAAGTGTGTGCGTGCGTGTGCTCTTCCCCTTGGGTGGGGGCAGGTACTGGCAGCTGTATGCAAAGCAAGGCGTGTGCGTGTATGTGCGTGTGCATGTGTGAGCGTACATGTGTGTATTTGCGTGTGTGTGTAAATGCTTCACTGCGCAGTACGTACGTCACGAACGGATCGTTCCAGTAGGTCCTTCACCCGAGCACAGCACATTGCTGATTGTGCCAGTGTTACGGCACTATCCTCAGCTGCACCAACAACACAAACAAATAACAGCAGCAGCAGCACAAGTGCATACAAACACATGCATACACACGTACATGCAAACACACGCACGCACACACACACACATACGTACACACACATACACGCACGCCCACACACGTACGCCCACACACGCACGTACACCCACACACGCACGCACACCCACACACACACGTACACACACACACACACACGTGCACAAGGATCGTCATGGGTTTGTGAACACACACGAAATGCATGCCATTCTTTGCCGAGCGGAGTTGGATCAGGGGGCGACGGCTGGCCATGGGTGTTATGAAATATCCAAACCAGTACACCGGTGACCCGATACAGTCATGCGCAGTGCCGCCCAGCAAGATCTGTGCTCTGCATCAGCTACAGTCCATTTCAAAAAATATAGACGCACAGTATTTTTTGACATAATTTCAAATTTGGCTGGAGCTTCTTGAGAATTTTTTTCGGAATACTGATCAGGTCCTTCCCTCAATTACTCTCGTATGGATTTTTAAGGGATCGGATAGCAAACGCCCAATTTCGAAATTTTCTGCACAAAGGGATCACAGATGTTATGCGGTATAGATGCTGGCCTAACGGTTTTTTGAAATCACTCGTCTATATCTTTGAAACGCAGTGTAGTGAGGTGCAATGTGTAGTCCTAGACCTGAGTGTGGTATGGTATACAGTAAAACCTGTAAGTAAAGACCGCCGTGACTAGCGGCCAGCCTGGTACTACAGTAAAACCTGTAAGTAAAGACCGCCGTGACTAGCGGCCAGCCTGGTACTACAGTAAAACCTGTAAGTAAAGACCGCCGTGACTAGCAACCAGCCTGGTACTACAGTAAAACCTGTAAGTAAAGACCGCCGTGACTAGCGGCCAGCCTGGTACTACAGTAAAACCTGTAAGTAAAGACCGCCGTGACTAGCGGCCAGCCTGGTACTACAGTAAAACCTGTAAGTAAAGACCGCCGTGACTAGCAACCAGCCTGGCACTACAGTAAAACCTGTAAGTAAAGACCGCCGTGACTAGCGGCCAGCCTGGTACTACAGTAAAACCTGTAAGTAAAGACCGCCGTGACTAGCGACCAGCCTGGTACTACAGTAAAACCTGTAAGTAAAGACCGCCGTGACTAGCAACCAGCCTGGTACTACAGTAAAACCTGTAAGTAAAGACCGCCGTGACTAGCGACCAGCCTGGTACTACAGTAAAACCTGTAAGTAAAGACCGCCGTGACTAGCGACCAGCCTGGTACTACAGTAAAACCTGTAAGTAAAGACCGCCGTGACTAGCGACCAGCCTGGTACTACAGGCCACTTTGCCAGACACTTCATCATAGCCTAGGGGCTGTGGCATCATTTATGATCCACAGCAAGAAGGCTGCCTGTACCTATGGTGAAGTAAAATAAAGGTAACATAACATCACATAACCGACAGTCTCACATTCATTATGGTTGTGCGGTGCACACCTCTACAGTCCATTCAGAAAAAGATGGACTTCTAGCTTTTGGCCATAAATGGGTCAAATGTTGAGTTTTTTTAGAATTTTTTTCTGCAATCCCCTATGGAATCCTCTTCCAATTATGTTTCTGAAGTCTATTTCTCCAAAAAGCAAGCCATAGCAAGAATAGGATTTCGGCCAGGCTTTGCCCCAAGAGCACTGAATTGGGAAAACCCATCAAAATCCAGGCCGTTTGACCCTGCCTGCAACAGTGCATTGTACGGTTCGAACCCCAGTACAGGTACCCTTTTCGGACCCTTTTCAAATTTCAAATTTCACAGCACTGCACTGTGTACGATAAAATCTTGAAAAATCGCCTAATACGGGAGCTCGGCAGAGCCAGGGCCCATCTTTTTGTGAATGGACTGTAGCTAAGGACCACCTGCCGCTAAAGACCGCTTTCTCTGGCCCCAAGGGGTGGTCGTTAGTTACAGGTTTTACTGTATATTCTTTATTTGGCTTCATCAAGCAAACAAGCTATGATGCCTTCTAACCAGCCAAGGCCCTGGCAAGGGCTGGTTCTCACAGAAGGATGAAAAATTATAAATTTTAGATTTTTTGCCCGGATGCCTCTGTACGATGTACCTGCTGCACCAGTACACTGTCTGGTGTACATGTACGTGTACCCATTTTTAGCCAACGGCATGTGTGTGTGTGGGGGGGGGGGGGGGGATGTGTGTGAAAACTATTTTTCGTACGCTTATGCAGGGAAATCCACACCTCAAAAAGGGTCCAAATCAAGTATCTTACCCCGACATTTGTTACTGTGACTTTCGGACGGAGCTGAAGTGCATGCACATCACAGATGCAGGGATCGCAAGAACAGGTGTGCTGGTAAAGAGAAATCGTGGATGTCGAGTACATGAGTACGGTGCCTAACGCTACGTTTGAGCAGCAGCTGTGCGCCTGTATTGCTGGACCACCTAATCGAATAAGCAAATCGAGGAACGATTCCGCGAAAAGGCATTGATCACTGATCGGCACGCAAAGGACCGGAAAGTGCGCTGGCAACACTCCGCCGGGCTCCACACTACACTCATGCCTCAGTTATCCTGGCACCGATCTTACATGCACTAGACATCCTTAGCAAAAGTACGATAGCGCTAACCTTTACGGTACTCACTCCCAGCCGTGACAAAAGACGTTATCGGATAACGGAAAAACGTTACAGAGCTCAAAATAACGGGCCGACGTTCGTTATGGAAATTCTGCAAAAAAATGCAAAAACTCGCATTGTTTTGTAACTGGCGGGAGATGAAAAGCAAGTCGTGCAGATCGAGATGAGATCGAGAGTCGAGATTGCTTCCTCTTGTGACATTTAGCTTTTTTGGGGAGTTTTGCCTTTCAGTTGACAATTTCTGCGTCCTCTGCTTCGTGCCTTTCCCCTCTATCCCACCTGGGAAACAAAGGACCAGTTCCACGGCACTCCTGAGGAAGAAATTCATCGGCCTCTCCCAGACGTGCTGGAGCTGGAGAACCCTTACAGTCTTCGGTGCTGCGTTTAGGAAAGGGTTTCCAAGGACCTGGGAACAGCGAAAACTCATTTTCGCCGTGCTTTTGCTATTCCAGAGTAAAAGACCTCGCCAAGGTATTCTTTCAGAACGACAGCAAACTAATCCCTGGTTCAAAATTTTGAATTTCCCGCATCTGTTTCCACGAAAATTCATATCGCCATGGTTGTCACGACTACTTCGTCTCAACTATAACGTACTTTGTGCTAAGGGAAAAGTCAGCTTGAACGATCCGAAGTACGGAAAGTTTTGCGTTTACGTTAGCGTTTTTTTTAGCTAAGGATATCTACTATCGTCTACCGGGCGCCCTTCAGGCGAGTTTTAGTGGAAATATTACTACTCATTTGTTGGTTTTTGGTGGAAATAGTGACACCACATGCCAGATCGCTGGCCTTTCCCCATCAAAATGTATGTGATTCAGAGTCACGGGCATTTCAAACTCAAAGTTACGGGTAGTGCCCGGTCCCAAACCGCCCGGCTAAATGCGGCACTTTTCCCTTTTCCATTCCCTTAACTAGTGAATACTAAAATATGTAAACAAGCTACTATTGTAATAAAGCATGGTCACCGCACAGTTAGTACTCTTGATTGCCATAATGAATACTAAATAATAATTTCAAACTCGGGTATTGAGCCAAAAATAAAAGTAGAAAGGAAAAGGACATGAATGTCTCAGTACTCTGTCAGTTTTGTGCCTAGTTGTTGCACTTTCTGACTGTATATAGTATCTAGTTACAGTGGTGGAGAGTTACTCTTAACTCGTTTCCATATGTCCTTTTCCTTTCTAAAAATAATAATTATTTCACATTTCCTGAGAATTTTTCAAAATTTGACACACTCCAACGCAACTACCAGTATTTATATTCACACATTATCCAGTGCCAACACTCATAATTATTGGTCTCTTTTCTACAAAATATAAACACTTCTCGAATTGAAGGAGTAATATATTTCGCAGCAAATTGTATTGTTTGTTCGTTGAGACTGAGTACAATAATTCGCTGAGAACAGAAAAGTAAAAATGCCAAGCTGTTCGCCCGTTCTAGACAAATCCATACACCAGACGCGCAATAACCCTATCAACTGCACTATATACGACACAGTTTCTTGAACACGCACCCAGAAAAATGAAGATATTGTTTAGATTAGAAATTTCAAAATCTACCAATTATTTTTGACATACTAACCTCTTCGCCGAAACATCTTCGAAAGTGCACGACGCGAAGCCTTCCGCCGTATTTTTACAATGCTCCACCCAGGTAATTTCAACTTCTATTCTCGTCTTCTCTAGCAACAAGAGAGCCGCATGCGATGCATCAATGCCCTGTTGATCTCACGTATTGCAAATTTTCGTATCTTGCTACAACAATCAATAATCTGAAACGCCCGCACTCGCTCGCTATGCTCATGTCATGACTCATGTATTGGACTATGTACGGCATGTATGACAGTGACTTGAGTGACGTGTGACATGATGCCACTGATGCGGAGCGGAGGTGCGGCAGCAGCTGATGCGTGCCGATTGCGTGGTAGAGACTTGTACATGATCCGTTGCCAGTCTTGGATGTTTATTTTTACTTCCCACATGTGCATGATTGTGATATCTACCTCGTCGATCGAGTCAAGTGGCCAATGCAAATGCCAACAGTAACTGTAACTGTTGACGATGGGAATCCGAATGCATGGCTAGCCTGCATAATACACACTAGGCCTAAATACGACCCTGGCCATGATGATAATAATAATTATTATTAATGGTGCCGAGCAGGGGTTTTTTAGGAATCAGGAGACGACTCCATGACTCGCATGAGCTCAGTAGATGTAGCGCATGCCATGGTACAGATTTCGAGGAAATGTCGAAGTTAAAATTGTCTATCAATAATGAAATCACTCTTCACCACTCCGCCTTGAATGCACTGGCCCTCATCCTGTACCCAGCTCTGAAGGGGCAAGGTGACCTTGTACACCGACGGCCTGTCAAGCGTTGCAACGAGGCTGTGCAATTTAAAACATGCCCGGGCATGCAGGCCTAGCACACACACACACGCACACGCGCGCGCGCGCACACACACACAGTGACACACACACACAACGCACGCACCACACACTGCCGTGTGTGCACAACGCATTAGAAACCGCTCGCACTCTCCGAGAAATGAACGTGAACGCGACAACGGTATGCCTCCCGATGCTCTACTAGAACCTGCACAAGCACATCTCTAGTTGTGCTCATTGCACGCTCATTGCACACGCGCACACACACACACACACACACACACACACACACACACACACACACACACACACACACACAGCTGATGATGATACAAGTGTATACGAGTCAGGCCGCACACATCGTAACAATACATGTAGTGACTGTACTGTAGGCCAGGTCAAGTCGGAACGACACCATTTCTCATCTGTTCACGAGGAAATCACTCTCTTCTTATCAATCAAAGACACTGACTGACCAACGCAGCATCAGAATAGAAAGATTATAGAGATAGTGACACAGCGGACGGAACATCGCAATCAACACAAGAAACACACACTGAATAATAAAGATTTGGCGATGAAACAAACCAAGGGCCGAAACATTCAAACACTCTGAAAAGCTCAAAACTGGCAGAATGATCAAAACATACAAACCGAATAAAGAGTCAAGGAAAAGCCGAGTAAACCACTTTCGACAAACAAGAAAGTTGCAACTGTGGCAGAGACGCAGGGGGCAGAAAGCCGACTGTTCGTGGAAACTTTTAAGGTGAGAAGAAAAGGGCGTAACACAACTGCAACTTTTTTGTTGTGGGTTATCAACATGATAATACTTCTCTGGAATAGATAGAGGGGAAACACGAATAAAATGAGAGAAAAAAATGAAGAAACACACCGTCACGAGAATGAGTGAAAAATTTAATTCGGGCAAAGAACTCTGCCATTGTGATCAGAGTGGTTTGCGGTCGCATGCCGTCCTACCGGCAGGACCACGGGTCCTGCCGGTAGGAACTGGTGCTGGAATAAGACAGAGATACGGATTCAGTTGGTTCGCTTGGTATCATAAGAATAGTTCTTGGGACTGTTTATGCTTGGATGAGAAATGCTTCTTCGGTTTCAGCTTATAAAGTAGCAACCCTTGGGCAGTGAGATTCGGAAATAAGAAGGATCTTGCCGGGGGGGGGGGGGGGGTACAAGGAGGGGAGCACACACACAAGCCGTATGGGAGTGGGACACAGCCCTGGCGATACTATTTCAACAGTAGTAGAATTATACAACGACACACTCGACTGGACTGGACCAACATACACGCACAGCCAACATCCAGCCGAAGTAGCGAAGCGAAACAACAAGAGCACCAGCTGCAGCACCATCACCAGCAGCAGCAGCAGTAGCAACAAACACATCAGCTTAAACAACACAAGACACACTGACAATAACAAAAACGGACTGGCTGGCATCTAGCATGGAAGCATTGCTTCGCCAACACAAAACTGCCGTAGTGACCGTACAAACATACAAACGAACAGATAGTTACATGCACACACACACACGCGCGCGCACGCACACACATACAGAAACACACGCACGCACATCACACCGAGTCTCTCACAGGTAGAAGTCGCTAACCTCCACTGGTTTCTTCATCCAAAAGCCGTTCGACTTCTCCAGATGGGACATGAGCGCCTTCTTCGCTTGGCGGTGCGCTATAGCCTGGGACTTGACCCCACGGTAGGTGTCGCACAGTTTGATATTTAGGACATCTAAGTTAGTGAGGCCAATGCTTGCTAGGCGCTCACGCAGTGCAGTGAAACGCTCAAAGAAGGAGCGCTTGCAGATGCGGGCCGCAGACTCTGCGACTTGAAGGCCGGATGAGCCTTGCAGAATCTCCAGGGTTGCATCTCCGCTGGTCCAGTCAAAGCTGTGAATTGCGGCACGGGCGGTATCGCGGCGTTCGACAATCGCCTGAATCGGCAGGTGCGTCAGCTCGGGCGGGTTCTGCAAGCTCTCAGCATAGGGGCCGCACAGCTCCGCGCCGACACTGCGGCTGGTCAGCGCGCGCTTCATGTGCTCGTGCGAGTAGAGGTTGCCGACGACGATGGCCTTCACGTACACAGGATCGATGAAGTGAGTCAGCAGGGTTCCCTGCAGGCCCAGCACATTCCAGCACAGCATTTTGTCAGAGCACGACATGGTCCGCAGCCGCTCGCCACCAAGAATGCCGTCCAGCGTCTGAATGTGATCGTCGCCGCTTGGCAACGTACCCTCGCCGATCTCCACCTTGTACCGCAACAGTCCACGGGATATGCGGCGCGGGTGGTTGTCCTGTTTACGCGTTGTGCAGTTGTCCGCTGCGACAAACACACGGCCATCCCCGCAGGGTGACGAGCTGACATACATGTAGAAGTCAATCCCGTCCCTCAATGCGAAGCCGCGGCTGCTGCCCACATACTCGAATATGGAGTTGTTGCTCGAAGCAGCTGCGGCAGCGCTGGTGTCCAGAGACTCAACGCACAGCTCCAGCTGACGGTACAGATAGCGCACAAACGCGCGTCGAGCTACGACCTCGCCGTGACAATCATGAACGCGATTGCCCTCCGTACTCAGGCAATTGCCGTCGATAACCTTGGTGCCCGTGCCGATAGCCACGACTTCGAATCCACCAGGCAAGGGGTCATCCTCCTCGTCGTCTTTGTTGCTGCACGTAACGTCATTCTCCTCCTCCTTGATGCCAGCCATGCCGGCACAAGCACCATTACTAGACTGGCAACTTGTTGCTCGCGCTGGCTGCGGCGGGTACTTGTGCATCACGATGGTGGCGAAGATATTGCGTCCGACCGCCGTCAGCGGTATGAGCGCGGTCAGCTCGTGGTACTTGCCCAGGCTTTGACGCGCCACCTCGGCGTGCAGCTTGGACGGCCGCTGCGACAGGCCAGACGCCAGCTGCGCTTGCTCGTCGCACGGCGTCTCGGCTCGGTCGCCTGCCGCCGCGCCCCCACTTCCGAAGTCGGCGGCACCGGCGCCGCTTTCCGACAGCATGTCCGGCGTCGCCTGCCCGCTGCGGTCGTCGAATCGGCCACCGCTGTGCTCGCTGCTGGCTTCCATGTCGTCAAAGTTGATGCTGTAGATGCTCTGCAGGACCTGGGCGGCGGCGCGGTGGCTCGCCTCCTTCTTCGACACGCCGGTGCCGTGGAACGTTTGTCCGCGTACGGTGACGGCGAATGTGAAGCGGCCCGTCGCCGGGCCGACTTCGTCGATCAGCGTGAACGGCGTGTTGGGCAGCATCTCGTTCAGCTGCTGTAGGGGTGTCTTGCGAGCCTTGCGTGGCGCCATTCGCCGAGGCCGACCAACACCTCGTCCAGACAGAATGTCGTCCCTCTCAGGCTTGCCGACACCGTCAGCAGCTGTACCTGCGGCGGCAGCAGCAGCACTGCCACCACTTGCCAACAACAGGTTCGTGTTGAAGCTACCTTCGCCTTCACTCTCGCCAAAGTCCTCCTCTTCGCCCTCCATCGACAGCTGCTTGAGAGCAGCAAAGGACGCGACCTGCTTCGCCTCTCGCTTCTTGCCCGACTCACCAGGGAAATCACGAATCTCACCACCGCCCACTTTCACCTTCAGGATAATACGAAAGGTGCGCTTGTTCGGTGGTCCGCACGTTTCAAAATCGCCCCACTCCACGTCACTGCCAAATAATTCATTCAACAACATCAAGGCGCTCTTCTGGAACTTCTGTGACACTTCAGCCGGGCAGCGCATGTCGCACAACTGACTCCGAAGCCGTCGAGCAGGATTCCACGACTTGGAGCCAACGAACGGACAACGTCCGCCCGGTAACAGTGCGCCGGTACTCGCCGCACTAGCACCGAAGTCCGCACTCGCGCCGTTTCCATTGCACTGAATTGTGCCGTTCGCGTGTCCGTTCTCCGACGGTAGAATTTCAACACAAGAAGCAGCAGCTTCAGAGTCGACACAATGGCCGACGCCGTTGGCCATTGCGTGGTTGCTGTTGGGTTCTACTGGTTGTCCATAGCCGTCCGGGTGAAGCTCCCGAAGTGCAGCGCGACATGCCTCGTGTTTGGCTGCTTTTTTCGACGCAGCAACGCCACGGAACTGCCGTCCTTTTACGCTCACGACGACCGTGAACAGAGGTTCGTGGGGCGGACCAGTCCGTTCTACTACCCCGAGGTCTTTCATTTGGGGATACCTGGCGTAGAGTACGGCCGCAGCTGCACTGCCACTCTCCATCGGTGAAGATGAACGAGAACCTTTGGCTTTTCTCTTCTCTCTGCCAGCAAAAAATACGCTGGTGTTTTCTGCAGGGGAAGCGTACCCTCTGCCTCTGCCAATTCCAGGGAGTCCGTTGGTTACAACCTGTTGGTTGAATGCAGAAGAAAAATATGACGAGGTCGCTGGCTGCATCATTCTGCTGAAGTAAGGTGGCCAGGCTGTGCGGCCTGGCGCGAGACTCAGAAGGTGCGAACTGGCCTATTTCTCGCTGTCTGCCGCCGGATTCTGGCCAATGCCGGGGTCCTGCAGCACGCGCAGCCCAGTTGGGCACATCTGAGACGAAACAGACGACATCACCCTTGCTTGCACGGGTTTCTAGCAGCTGAGGCCTAGCTGAGATGTCACAAACACTAAACAATAAAAAACTGCCGAGAAAATGACCGAACGGAAGAGTTCCTGTCGCAGCCTGAGCCTGCGGAAAGATGGGCGAGTGCAGTTGACCCAGCTGCGCAGTCAAACACTTGGCCGTAGGCGTAGGTACATGTAGGTGTAGATCTACTCCTGCCTCGTAACCAGGGAGTAGTACAATACCGGTATTGTACTACTCCCTGCTCGTAACTACAATAGTCGACTGTACTGTACTCTGTAGATCTACAGTGCTGGCACCTGAAATCCGACCCCCTTGCCGGGGCACCGCGCCAGCAAGGGGTCGGATTTCAGTTGCCAGCACTGTACATGTACATTTTACATGCACCACTCTACAGTCTCTACACAATACAAGACATGAAGTATTGAAGACGATCTACAGTAGTCGTCGTATCGACGTCCGTCGTTCCACAGAGTTCCTGCAAACAGTCCTACGGAAGCATCACCAAGACCAAGATCGATTATATCAAGAGTACATGACTGTACTCTTGATTTACTGAGTATTTACAACTCACTGTAGCCTACATATTATAGGATCTAGGAGTCTGCAAGAGTGCATAAATAAACCAGGGAGTCGTAAAATACCTGGCATAAACATGACTCTTGATCTTGGCATCACGTGTACACAGGATTTTCGAACATTCATGATTCACTTCTTCGAGCTTCGGCATTCGGGAGCTTCGTGATCTACAACCTTTTTTTAGAGTTTGGGTACTTCGGACCACTGATGACAAGACGTTGCTTATAGGTTGTTTTCCTTCGTTTTCAATGAACATAGTTTGTAGAGCTGCGTAGGCTGCGATTACATTGGAGATGGGTGGAATTGCTGAGAGAGAGCACCTGTACCGCCTTATGATCAGGTAATTAGTAGCGAAAATGTATCAACGTATGGAGAAAAAAATGTTTCCAGCATAATTATTTAGAAAACTCAGTAGGGTACTTTCAGGGTAGATTTGACTCAAATTGAGACACTTGACTGACCTGAGCCAGCAGGTGCCACCTTGCCTTTTTCGGCTCAGGTTGTCCTTGTTGTTGTATTATTCTATTTTACTTCGTTTATATGGGCGCAGGTCAGTCAAGTGTCTCAATTATTTGAATAAAAAGTTAAAAACCAATCAATCAAATCTAGTGTAAATGTCTAAATGAGTATTGTTTTTTAGCGGCAAATCTGCCTCAGTATTATGTGAAAGGACATGCCTGCATCACATGCACATGGATGTTCTCACCAGGTTTGCACAACTGACAGTGAAGAAGCGGTGATCCAATCATAAAGACGGAAAAAAGGCCAGGGCACGACATACAATGTACCACTCCACACAATGTAGCTGAATGTACACAATCTTATTAGGGATATCACCGTGTTTTTTTCTTTCGTAGTATACCAAGAAAACTGTTTGTTTTCGGGAAGAACTACAGTACAGGATATAGCACAGAAAATTTGGATGAAAAATCTTGAAGGATACCAGAGATATGAGGCGTCAAAGTCATACGCCAACCTTCATCATGATGTATGCGGAATGCCATACTGCTGTGGCACCAACAGGGTTTTCCGGAAAGCCTAGCAAACGCTTAGCAACATTACAATATTGTCAGAATGCTATGAAATCTGGCCTGTAGGTCCAATATAGGTGTTATATAGGTGCAATAGAGGTTGGTTAGTCCTAATGTTGACCAAAATATAATATTTCGGCAAGCGATGACCAATAAGAACGAGCGCGGTGCCCGTAGCAACCACCATAGCAACAATGCTAAATCCATTGAACACGAGTTCCATTACTATGAAATTGAAGTGAGCACTGATGGCTATGGTTGCATTATACATGTACAAATAATAAATACAGCAATTTGGTCTTCAGATGCCCAACTTTACTGCGGCTGTCACACAGTTGATCAATCATGTACATGTATATGTACATTTTACATGTAAAATGTACAATAGTGAAATATGCGTACAATCCAATCACTGACGCGATCCATGTCAGAGCACCACTCCATAGCAATTTCTTTCTGGTTTCAAGGTGACGAGTCGAATACAAAATCATAGCTCACTTTGTCGCAATAGCGAAAGTCTCCGTCAGGTGCAATCTTTCACTAGGGCCAATAAATCATCTGAAACACTCCTAGCGCTTGAACATATTGGATCCAGAAATTCATTCATTTTGTGCGACCAGGAGGTGAAAGTCTTGAAAGCGCGATGAAGAGCGATCCCCCAGCTCGAGAAGAAAGCACTACTCTACATAATTCGAGGTCGCTGAACACGATGGTGGGTGTTTCCTGGCCGTGTACTCCCTCCAAACGGATGAAAAATCCAATTGAAAACTACACTCCTCACAACAAAAAGCTCCAACTACAGTTGCCCAAGCAAGTGCGGCACCAAAACGAGCAGGAAGACCTCAGCTATCAAACGCACCAACTTTCAACTTTGAAAAAGAAAGCAGGACATAGCAATTCGAAAAAAACTGCAGCGAAGTCCATGGTGCCACAGCTACCATGCTAATGTACGTGACCCGCGTGAAGGCTGTTTTCAGCTGATTTGTCACGTGACTGAACTCCCTAATCTTATGCATAGCAAGTAGAGTAGAAGCATAGTCCAAAAGAAGAGTGCAGCTGAGTTTTAAACTGCCACGCACTGACAAACATTGAAACAGGCTTCAACCGAGTTTCTGAATGTGAGCCGGCCATATCAGGCGCGTGCTCGGCGATGGGCACGGGGGGCACGTGCACCCCCCAAAAATTTTCAATCTGGGTAATTGCAATTGTAATGTATGCAAATATGCTCTAAAATTCAAGAAAGGTTGCAAGCAAATTGCAGAAAATTGCCGGGGGGCTCCCCTCGGCTCCCGTGCACCCCCCTAGTTGGGGGGCCGAGCACGCCCCTGCATATACATACCGTGGAACTTCAGTATAACGTGCCTCCAAGGGCCGTAGGAATCTGTACTTTGTAGCTGAGGTACTGTATGTCTGAGGTCAAATTTTTACTGGAAAAGATATTGCAGGGTCGTCAGAAATAGTACTTTATGGCCCGTAACTGTAAGTGTAAAGAGTCAGCTCGTAAGAATAAGAGGAAGACTGCACTCTCTTGCTTCTTTCTCATCTCTCTTACTTCTCTCTTGCTTCGTTCTTATCTCTCTTGCTTCTCTCTTTCTCTCTGACTTCTCTCTTGCTTCTCTCTTATCTCTCTGACTTCTCTCCTGCTTCTCTCTTACCTCTCTGACTTCTCTTGCTTAGTCAACTGCACTATGATGGTTACGAAGGCGTTGCTGCGACATTGCTCCAAGCGTGTGGAGCGCTGCCAGGCATTGCGCCGTCTCAGCGGCTGTTCACGGCCGTTCAGCGGGGATTCGAAGCCGACGATGAAAGTAAGTGTGACAGCCGCACTTTTTGGAGTTAAGTTCTCTCCCCTACAGTCCATTTCAAAACTATAGACGCGCAGTGTTTTTGAAATATTTCAAATTTGGCTTGAACTTTTTGAGAATAGTTTTCGGAATATTGCTCAGGTCCGCTCCACAATTGCTCTCATATAGTTTCTAAACGATTGGATAACAGACGCCCAATTTGGAAAAAATGATGCACAAAGTGATCACAGATTTTATGTGGTATAGATGCTGGCACAACGGTTTTTGCCTAGGTACGCGTCTATAGTTTTGAAATGGACTGTAGGACTCTGTTTACTCTGGGAATAGAAGATACACGCTTACATCATGGTCTGTTCGCATGCATGATCCACATTCTATAGAAATTACAGCTTTGCATTACACTCAGACCTTGCTTATCCGGTCCTCTTTTATCTGGATCCCTCGCGATCTGGATGAAAACCGTTGGTTACCAATTTAGAGCATACTAGTATGCCATGCACACATACACTATGTGTGTTCGATTATCCGGTTCCTTAAGCGAGGCCTGACTGTATTGCCTTATCAGAGTGGCAGACTGTCCAACCTTGCCACCTTTCCAAAGCAGGACACCTATATAGAATGTATACAAAGGCAATTGTCTCCCATGTAAATGTATACAAATGTTTTGGTCCAAACCAGGACGGTTGGACAGCCTGGAGTGGTATCTTTGCTGAATTCTGCAGGCTGGTGTTATGCAGTGCAGTCAATGGTCTTACCATACTACAGCATTGCCCAGTGATATTCACTGCCGGGAGCAAATCATGTGCATAGTGCTTGGGCTGCTCAATACCGCCCAGCACTATTTTATTCACCAGGCTGCCTTTTTCCTTTCCAGCGCTGTAGTATTTCTGTGGTAGCACGCAAAGTCTGTGTGGCACTAGTGTCCATTGTACAGTGCTGGCCGGAGAAATCCAACCTCATGAATAAAGTAGCGCCGTGTTCGAGTGCACAGACCAGTGTGTGCAGTGCTAGAGCTGTGTAGCGCCCGGTGCTATTTTATTCATGAGGTTGGATTTCTTTGGGCAGTATTGTACTTAGGACTAGGTTCTTAGCTGCCTACTAATACTCGATCTTCTTGATTTGTTTGTGCCCCTTTGGCACTTCAACTGTTGCTCCCGTGCAGAGCTCGGCGGTCCACCGAAGGAGAAGCCGAGCCAGGCCATCACGCAAGCCTGCCTGGACCTGCAGTTTGACAGTGAAGGTAAGAGAGTTGGTGCGAATGGGAGCCTGAGTGTGGAACGTGTGCTTGGTGTAGGTCGGCGTGAGGTGTTGGTTCGCGACGATTTTGTCTACTACGAACCGCAACGGTATCTTTGGCATAAGATCAGTGATCCTGTGCCATAGCAGCAGCACTGAGATATAGATAGCTCTGTGTAGTTTATTGAGCAGTGTTGGGTATTTCTGTGTCCCGTGTGGTGTGGTATAGAGTGGCTTCACATCTATCACATGACGTCGGCCATGTTGGTTCCACTGTCCACATGACATGATCACTTTCTACACAAATTTCGTCACATGACAAACTGATGTGAAACAACTCTATTGTGTTTCTTTACACCTGGTATGATGTGAGACCCCTGCTGTAACTTCCACTATTGGCTGGCGCTTTAAGGCACAGAGGACTTCCGTTTAGCCTTGAATGAGCTTGTCTTCATGTGTTCTGGGTATCTTTCTCCTACAGACACAAAGTGCTCACCGTCTCCAGCAGTATACGACATGCTGTACGCGACGTCACACAAAGCGCCGTGCAAGGTCGCCTGCTTCAACGGCTCTGGTGCGGTGACATGTTACACGTGTGTGGGGTACCCGGGTCTCTCAGTC